GCTCACTTTTTGGAAGGACAGCCGGTACTCAGTACCGCCGCCTGACTTTCTAAGAGCAGGCCTAAACATTTGGTCTAGGCCATAATTCATTAGGGGGTATGCTTGCAAAAGCCCAACCGGTGAATGGACATCCTAATCTGGCGTGATTCTTTTGCGAAGTCCCGACCGGTAATTCAGTATAAACCGACTGGCTCCCGAATCTAATGTTGGCACTTAGTGTATATTCAAGCTATATCATATGGATAGTCGTCTGGCTTGCAAAGACCCAGACCGCTATCCAGGGGCAATTACCCAGACGCCATCCGGTTTGTTTTTGGGTCGAAATTTCTTCGCCTAGTTTGCGAAGACCCAGACGGCAGTGTTACCGGTGGGGTCTTCTTGGCAACCCTTGCAAATTTCTTCGCCTAGTTTGCGAAGACCCAGACGGCAGTGTTACCGGTGGGGTCTTCTTGGCAACCCTTGCAAATTTCTTCGCCTAGTTTGCGAAGACCCAGACGGCAGTGTTACCGGTGGGGTCTTCTTGGCAACCCTTGCAAATTTCTTCGCCTAGTTTGCGAAGACCCAGACGGCAGTGTTACCGGTGGGGTCTTCTTGGCAACCCTTGCAAATTTCTTCGCCTAGTTTGCGAAGACCCAGACGGCAGTGTTACCGGTGGGGTCTTCTTGGCAACCCTTGCAAATATCTTCGCCTAGTTTGCGAAGACCCAGACGGCAGTGTTACCGGTGGGGTCTTCTTGGCAACCCTTGCAAATTTCTTCGCCTAGTTTGCGAAGACCCAGACGGCAGTGTTCCCGGTGGGGTCTTCTTGGCAACCCTAGTAAATTTATTCGCCTAGTTGGCGAAGACCCAAGCGGTAGTGTTACCGGCGGGGTTCTTTTGGTTATCCTCGCAGAAATATGTACAAAAAAAAATAACAAGAATTCTAGTATTGAAGTGCAGAAACATAAAAAGCATTCAAAAGCCGGCTCAGCCGGTGAAAATGTTAATATTCAAAATAAAAATTATTACAGCTTAGCCCATCTCATCCGGTGCTATTACAAGATAATACAAGGCGCGCAGGCCGGGAAGTAGTTGCTACTCCAGGCGAACAGTGAACCGGTCCTATTCCGGTTGGTTCTGGGTTGGATCAGGGTGAGCGGCTGCGTCGGCTTCAGGAACGACTTCCTCCTCTTCAGCAGCCTCCGCCTGCCGTCGCGCAATCTCCTCCCTAACCCAAGCGTCATAGGGTCCGGGCCCCGGCTCATTCGCCTCCTCGGCCAGAATGGCAAGATCAGAATATTTGAAGGCGAGTTCCCAGACGGTGAAGTCCGCCTCCGGGTGGATGAGGGAAAACGCCCGTTGCATCCGGTTTGCACAGTCATGCTCATTCTCTTCAATGAGCCTCTCCTGCTCCGACTCCAAGGTGGCCTTGAAGTTCTCATTGGCAGCAGCCGCCTCTTTGCGCAGGCGCTCATTCTCTTTGGCAAGGCAGCCATTTTCAGTCTCCGCCTTGCTCAGCCGTTGGAGGGGCTCTGTCTGTTCCTCCAACTTTTTATTGGCATCATCCAGGGACGCCTGCAGTTGGTCAACTTGGTTTTTCAGCTGATCAATCTGCTGTTGGAGGGCCTTGGTCTTCTCCGCCTGTTCCATGCGTATAGATTTAGATTCTAAGCCATGCATGTACAAAGAGTAGTCAGCAACATTATGGGCGTCATCAACAGCCCGTTTGCTTCTCCTTACCTCCTCAGACTTGCGGGTATAAGCTCGTTTGAGCCCCTCTACGCGCAGCATAGCCTGCAAAAATACAGCCGGTTAATACTGCATACTTGAAAATGCACGTCAAGAAAATTACCGCATGGTTGTTGGAGCATACGTCGGCCAGGTCGACCAGCACCCGGTCGGCATTAAAGGAGTTGATCCCAGGGATCGCCTCCTTCTCGTCCCTGGGGACGGCTTTCAGCATGGCCCGGGCATATTGTGCCCCGTCCGGCCAGCGGGGAGAATTATCTGCACCAGAAACAGACGGTGAGAAACTCGCATATGCTCTGCCTATAGATTGCCGGCTGATTGGAGAATCCCCCGGCTGCGATCGAGACTGTGAATAAGACTTGACCCGCATGGGCAGATCAAGTAGTGTAAGGTCGAAGTTACCTTGGCGGCCCGAACGGCCTTCAGAGGGACCGGTTGCGGTCCTCAATGGGATGGCAGAAAGCACATCCGCAGATCCAGGCCCGTCTGGGACCCTTATTGATTTGCCGCCGGTAGTTTGCCGGTCGGCTGTCTTCTGCACCTTGGATGCAGACTCTTGTTGGGTCGGCGGAGGCCTGACCTGTTTTTGAAGGGACCGGGGCATCTGCTTCCCGTCCTGTAAACGAGAAAAATATAAGTTATGGGATAAAAGGATTGAAATAAACGAGAAGGATCAGACGGTTATACCTTCTTCGCCGCCTGGGCAGCAAGTTTTTTCTCGAGATTGGCTTTCCGGATGTCGGCAGCCGACCTAGCCGGTGTCTTCTCAGTGGGCAGCATTTTCTTGGCTTCTTCTGCAGAGGAAGGCACACGGTTAGAATAATAAATAAGCAAGGAAATAAAAGCATCCGGTTCGAAAGAAACCGGCTGAGTTCCGAATACATACGTTTTTTAAACATGCTGCTTAGGCCACAAGCGGACAAGAAGCATTCGTCCCTAAAAAATTCATGTTTGGGCACCCAGTTTCTAGGTACCCTTACTATCTCTCCGGATGAGAGGGTGTCAGGAACTAACTCAAAAAACCCGGAGTCAAGGATGGTCTCTCTATCATCCTCCGGGACAGGGGGCAGGCAGCACTTGGTCCCCAAGAGTTCTGGTTTCCGGTTGTAGATCCGGAATTCTCTGTTCTCTGCCGTAGTTGGGGCCTTAACCAAGTAGAACCGGTGCTTCCAGTCCGACCATTTGGATGGCTTGTCCAAGGTCATAAGGTATTTGGGCTGGGTGGTCAAGGTATACCAGGCTCTCCAGCCGCCTGGGCTCCTACTCAAGTAATGCATGTGGGAAAACGCCTCCCAGCCGGGGTTGAGGCCCTGCATCTCGCAGGCGGCGATATACCCTAAAATATTTACCCATGAGTTGGGGGTTAGTTGCCAGAGACCTAGGCCATACCCCCTAAGTATGGCTTTTATTGTGTCGTGGAGAGGGAAGCGGACTCCGGCCACGAAGGCCGCCTCGTAGCACCCAAACCAAGCGTTCGCGTTCGGTTGTCCATCCTCCCACCATATTGTTCCCAGAGCAGCCGGGACTTTTATTGTATAGTCACCACCCAGCGGCCGCCGTTTGATAAAATCTGGCAGCGCAGCCCGCATGAGCTCGCGGTCCTTGGAGGAGACGGCGATCATGAGAGGATCGTTCCTATTATCCCAAGAAGGCCTCTCCGCCTCCTCGCTATCCTCAGATTCGGTTAAGTAGCTGCTACTGCTATTTTGAACGTGACCGGCATCAGAGCCGGCTGGGGAGTTGGAGACCTCCTTATCAGAGCCTACCTGCTCTCTGGTCTCCTGGAGGGGAGCACTCTCTTCGTTTAAAATGCTATCACCCGGGGTGCTAGGAGCGCCCCCGGGTGAGCCTCTCTGCTCTACCTCTCCATGCTCTACTTCACCGCCTGAAGCTGGGACCTCAGGCGGCTGCTCATCTGAGCTCCCACTTCTGTAGTTGGGATCTCTGGCAGTAGACCGGATTCTGGCCATTGTGTCCTGCACAGATACAGAGTCGGTCGATATGGGTGTTGAAAAAGGGTTGTCCCAAAGAACAGAGGCGGCAGACCCAGTTCTAGACTCAGCCGTACTAATAAACCGGCTGAGTTCACAGCTAGGTTCCGGGTATGGGTATAAGGGGTCCATCTACTTATGGGACCAATGAACAAAAATGCGAGTAAAAGACTCAAACGGAAATACATGAAAAAGCTAGAAAGAATAGAGACGGTACCTAGAAGAAAATCTGGAAATTCTCTGGGATGCTTGCGAAGACGCAGGCGGTTCAAAATCCGGCTGGGTTTCTCTGATTACCCTCTCGAAAACCTTTGGCTAGCTTGCAACGACCCAGACGGTCTGTAGACCGGTTGCTCTCAACGAATCTCAACTCCGAATGCTCTCAACTCTCAAATTGCCGGCTGCTCTCAAATCTTCAGAAATTTGGCAAAGTTTGTAAATGAGAGCTCGGGGGACATCTTCTCCTATTTATAGAATTTGTCCCAGAAGGTGAAAAGTCGTGACTCTTCGCCTTCTGCTTTTCCATCCTTCAAAAGGAATCTGAAGAGTTGAAAAAAAAAAAAAAAAAAAAAAAAAAAAAAACCTTTCACCGGCGCCACGTGGCACCCTGCCACGTCAGCACCAGTGAGGGGCAAATGTTTGGGGTAAAAATACCCTAAACACGTGGCCCAATGGCCTAGTGACACGTGGCATCCAGCCGTTGGTCAACAGTGCTCCAATCCTCAGCTGACACGTGTCCTCTAAACCCTAAAAGGGAAACCATCCCTTCCCCACTATAAATAGTGGAAGGACCCTCATTAATGGGGGGCTGGAACATTTGTTGTTCACATTGAATACTCCTCAAAAAGAAAAACACTTACCCCGAGCAATATTAATTGCAGAATTCTCCCATTACGCGAGAAGTAACTTCCACATTACGTGCATTCTACCTCCCGTATCTTTACTAACTTGATCGTCGGAGGCGGAGCTCCTACCCCCAGGAGTCTTCGTGATTTTGCAGGCACATGCGTCGAAGGGCATTCTTGGAATTGTAACTCTCCCGCAGGACACATCAAAAAACCCCGAAACAAGTGTGAAAAGAACTTAATTAATTTTAAATTTGATTTTGGCACTTTTTATATGCATCTGTCATTGTACGACCTTAACAATAGTTAATGAATCTACATAGCATATCATATCATAAAGAATGAATTTTTTTATTTTGAAATTTAATTATGAATTTATTACAATCAAAGAGACAAATAATTATAATGTAGCTAAGGTGAAGTCTTAATTTTTATCAAAAAAAAAAAAATTAAACTTGAACTTAATTAGGGCCTAAAGTCATTGATTTAAAATTAGTGTGCAACCCTTTCGTAGTAATTGGACTTGACCAAAAAGAAAAATGACCAAATTCGAAAACTATCAGCCCAACAACGCCAATACACATCTCCAAAACCCTAAAACTCTCATCTTCATCTTCTTCCTCCCTCGTCCCTCAAATTTTCTCTCTCCTCAAAACCCTAAAAAAACCCTGCAACTTTCAGAGAGAGGAAAAAACCCAGAATCCAAAAATGAAGCACAACCCAAGAGTATCAAGCTCTCGCAGAAAATGTCGGAAAGCCCATTTCACGGCACCATCAAGCGTCCGCCGCACAATCATGTCGGCCCCACTTTCCGCCGACCTAAGAAGCAAGCACAATGTCCGTTCTATCCCTGTCCGCAAAGACGATGAAGTTCAGGTTGTGCGTGGAACCTTCAAGGGTCGCGAGGGCAAAATTGTCCAATGCTACCGTAAGAAATGGGTTATCCATATTGAGCGGATTACCCGAGAGAAAGTCAACGGATCGACTGTCAACGTTGGGATTCATCCTTCGAAGGTGGTTGTTACGAAGTTGAAGCTTGATAAGGATAGGAAGGGGTTGCTTGAACGTAAGGCGCTTGGTCGTGGTAATGGTGATAAGGGGAAAGAAAAGTTTACTGTTGATGATGTTGCTGCTGCTAGTTCTATGTCTCAGGTTGATTAGATTTTGAATTTGATATGTGTTTTTGGGTTCATTTGAAATTTGGATTGTTTTTGAGTTATTTGATGTTGAGAAATTTTGATACTTGGTTTATAATATATGGTATAATCTATCCATTTTTGTTATTGTGTTGGTTTGTTTTTATTCTGATTGATAATTTGCTTTGCTGATATTATAATTGGAATTGTATAGGGTAGGAAAATGGAATTTGTTGGTGTATTAAAGTGTGTAATTTACTAATTTTCCATTTAGGTGGTTTTCGAGATGGTGATTATAGTAGACTTTGATTAGTTAGGGATGAGAATTCATAATTCTACTTTGTTGTTGTAGTTATGAGAATTGAGCATGGAAAAGTTGGGTAATGTTGCCTTTAGTTGTGGTGAAGGATGATGGTAATGCAATTGAAGGGGATTGAGGTGTTTGTGAGGAAGTCATGTGGTGGTGTTTCGAAACAGGGGAGTGATTGAGTGGGTGTTTTCTTTCATGGGATTGTTGTTAGTTGAATGGGTAAAGGGGGTAATTGAAATCAATTGATGGTGTTTGTATTTCTGACTTGTTACATAATGTGAGTGCAATTAAGGACAAGTGATGTTTGTGAGGTTAGGTGTATAAGGAGTTGCAATGTTGCATTATGTTCTAAATAATGAGATCTAGTGATGTAACTACGTTGTTGAATTCGAAGGCCTGAGTTAAGAGAATAAGAGGGTGTTATTTAGTTAGTGTAGGGTGTTATATAGAGTTGCTTAGAAAGCACATGATTTGATAATAAGTTATAGGGATACAGTTTGAATTTCTTTTGGTACAAGTTTAGGGAACTGCTCGCTTATATATATGATACTTTCAAATCGTTATCTAGAGTTTCCGGATTTCACAATGTGCCTATTGGACATAGGTTGAAGATGGTTTATAGCCGTTACCAGCTCCAATATGCTTCTGTAGTTCTGTTACTGTGAGTCAGGCATGTAGATGCTGTGATATCGCAGCATGTATATCAGTATATGCGGTGATTGCAATCAGTCAGTGGGATATTGTACCTCTTTTGGGATTATATTCTCCCCCTTGAGTGAGTGTTGACTATGTTGGATGTCTTATAATCCAAGACATACAAGTACTCTAAGTTTTGTATTGATAGTTTGGAAACCTTAATGAACTTGTGGTACTATGCTCTACGAGAACAGGCTTGATTTTTGTTTTTCACTTGGTGGATTTGGTTCTTTGATAGATTTAAATTAGATCAAGCAGATTGTAGGGTCTTATCTTCTATTCTTCTTGAACCTGAAAAAATCAGCATTGACTGACTTTCACCCCGAACCATATCCTACTCTACTCCTGAACCTCACCACTATGGACCTGAAGTCCGACTTGAGGGTTGAACTCCTTTGAACATCCCAAAGCATTATTGCATCAGCCCCATTAGAATTATTTCTGCTGGATGGTGATTCCTTCTATAGATTTTTGCTGTGTTATGTTGGTGGGAACTGAGGAGTGCTTATGTTCATTGAGGAATGCTTATGTTATGTTGCTATTTCGTGTTTCCTACTCTATTATTAGGCCCTGTTCACTTCACTTTAAAAAAATAATATTAAGTAAAAATAATTTAAGTTCAGTAAAATTCAATAACTTTAAAGAAGAAATATAATAGAAAATCAGTAATTTCAGTTCATTAAAATTAATTTCGGTTCAGTAAAAATAATTTCAGTTCAGCAAAAATAAGGTGAAGTGAACGGGGCCTTAGTTCTAGAATGAACTCAATGAAGTGATGGTTGGTTGACTTTGATACCTTGAGGTAGTTATATAGAGTGCTAATTGAAATCTAAGCTAATTGTGAGGAGATTTTTAAATGGTTTTGGGCAAAATGCTACGAGTAAGAACTCTGAAATTTTTTCATGTCTATTTATATGGAATATATCTCATTTAGTTCATATCTTATTCCAATTCGCACAGATTTAACCCATGTACGTGAATGAGAAATTCTCATTGTTGATCACTTCTCCATAACAGGGTGACATGTTTAGATTGTAGTGTTAAGTTTCAAAACTATATAAGGGTTAATGTTGCTACAACATAAAAAATATACTAACCCAAAGCTTTAAACTCTTGTCTTTAACTCAAGTCGTCCAAGACTCCTCTTAAGGCTTAAACTTGAGTCATTGTTGACTCATATTTGAGATTTTTATTACAAAATAAATACGTTGCATTGCAATTATTTAGTAACAAAATGATTAAAATCTACTCTTTATAAGATTATAAACGATAATGTTTATTCTTGATCACATAATATGGTTAATGTTTTGGAGCAAGCCTAGGTTTTTCATTTTGAGTTTGTTACTCAAATGGCATTCCTGTAATATTTGTCTAGATATTCGCGAACGAAGCTCCACCTCCATCTTCTTCACATCCAACCACGACCTACCTTCACCTCCATTTTTGTCCTCTTTCTTCTTCCTTCTCTTCACACCTTTCTTGTGCACCACCATTTTCACCGACAACATTCCGACGGCTTCACCACCGGCGAATTAAACGAAAACCCTAAGAAAAATGGAGGAAAGAATGACATGGTTAACCCCAAAAGGTATGAGTGTTGATCTGTTGATTTTTCTCCATTGAAGCCCACTGTTTTCTTCACTTTTATCCGATATCAAAAGCGGGGCTACAAATGCTAACACTGAAAGTGGTCCGGTGCAATTTTGTTAAAATTGGGCCCTAAAATCATTTTTTTAGGAAAAATGTTACTAAATTCAAAAATCGAATCCTTTTATAGTAGTTTCACTTAGGCGGCCCTGTGCGATCGACCACCCTGCACATGCTCAGAAGTCGGAACCACCCTTGCTCTATATTGACAATTTTACCCCGACTTTACATAGCAAAATGACGAGCGTGTCTCATTTGAGTAACTTTGGTTGTTACTCAAAATCAGTAACTTGGGTTTTCGCAATGTTTTGTGGATAGTATATATTTTTAAAACGAAAAAGAAATAGGGTGAGAATTTTGTCAATGATTGTATTATATACCAATTGGCTGTTCACTTGGTAGGGAGGACCGTGTGTTCGATCCTCTACAACAATAATTGGGAAAGGACTGGAACCTAACCACTCAAAACTGAGCCCTGAATCCGAATTAGCCCAAAGGGTGAAGCGGATGAAACACCAAAAAAATGATTATATTATATGTATTTACACTTTGTAAATATGAGTCCATATCTTCATTCATAGAGACTAACAGACCCATATATCAGTCTTCAATTATCGAAAATTTTCTGAAATTTTTTCTCTCTGCATTAGCATTAGTAAAATTTATATAGTTAACCAATACCTAGAAAGGCACTTCTATAATAGGCTAATACAGGTGGTGTTAAAGAAAAGGGTGGGAGAACCATAATCATTTAATCATTAGTTGTTAATTCCGTATCATTGCTAATTTTCTATGGTAAACTTGGATGCTCTACACATTGCAGTCTAGCAGATACTGAGGCAATTCTTCAACAAATAACTCTATTTGCAGTTAACCCTTAATCCCCTATATCCATTCGAATTCCAAATCACCTTGGATTCCATGAAAGGAAGGATCAAATTCCTTCCTTCACAAAGTTCACTCCTTTTGGAACCACAAACAATTTAAGAAAAACAAGAATATCAAACAATGGTTCAGCACTTCAGCACCAATTGTTGGAGATACACCACAATCGATATGTCCATTGTCCAGTCTGGGCTCAGGATTCAGGGGTGGTTTTGGATGTGGTGTTGGGTTTGGGAGATTCCGATTGCTACACAAAGGAACTCACCAATATTAACACCTTCTAGCTGCTTGCACTTGCAGCGTTTACTCATCATTGTGCACATTGGCAGATGACCTAATGTGATAGTCTCATGCAGCCAACCCCATCCCTTTAAATAAATTACAATTGGCGTAAGCAATTTAATTACTCGGCAGCCAGAAAAATAAATTTTTAATACCAAAAAAAAAATCTAACTAAATCGCAAGAGTTGCAACTAACAGTACATCAACATTCACACATTCAGAAGAGATCAGCTAAGAGGCTATAACAGAAACAGGTTTAGGGTTCTCAGTGTTTCAAAATGTACCTTTATAATACTCCTTAGCACTTATTTTGACAATCAGTTGCTCAAGAACTTTTGTCTTATAACAAAGTAGCAAACCAATAGGAGTCTGACTAACATGTCATTAATTTTGTATATCAAAACGAGTGGCAAAAAAACATCATTTTGAATTGCTTTTGAACAGTAAGTGAAGCAAAGGAGCTAGACATGTAAAAAATGAATATTCAGGTATGAATATGTTTCTTTCATCTGGTTGTTGAACCAGCAAAATCTAAGCCATGCAAACCACCACGTGTATACTCACTACTCGACACTAGTATCTGACAATAGGGAAAATACCGGTGCCCTTGTTGTCTAGCTGATGATGCATCCAAATTTTCCGGGCAGGACTTGGTTCCAGCACAAGGCAGCAGAGAGAATATTCCTCTGGTAACATAAAGGTAGAGGATCCCTCAGAATCCATTTTATTTCCCCTCTCTTAGTTCTGAGTTAGGTTCTAAAGTGTGATCAGTCTCTATATTGCTTTGCATCTCTAACAGTTTCTGTTCTTCTTCTTGGCTTTCTTGTGGCTCTGCAGCTTTCACAGGCTTGGGTTTGCTTGTAGACTGCTGATACATAACACCGCCCAGCATACAGACAAGAAGGCCAACTGTTCCCACAAAAGTAGAATGTTTATCCCAGATGACAAGGTTGATAACAACTGTTAGTAACTTGTTCACTATTCCAAGAACTGTAAAGCCTGTGGCAGAGATTGCTTTTCGACAAGAGAACCCAAAAAAGGAGATCGAAAGTCCAAATAAGCATGATAACCCCACCGGCAGGATGACGCTAAAAGAATGCCATTCTGACTCATCAGAAATATCATGCTTTATCTTCTTCAGCTCGCCCATAACAAAAAGCTCTAATGGAAAGAGTAGGAGAGCCTCAAGGTTGTTGTATAAGACTAGGCCCCACGTGTTCAAGCCAATGGTCATAACAACATGTTTTATATAAACAAAATCAATGGACATGCTTACAAGATAAGCTAAAGCCCAGGTGTAAGCCATTACAGTGAATTGATAATCTGTCATCACATAAATGACACTTCCACCAAAGATAGTGACAAGTGAGGCCCAAGTTTTGAGTGATGGCCATGGCTGGTGCAGAAAGAGGGTCTCTCCAATTGCAACAAAGATGGGGACTACTGAGCGGAAGACGATGAATGTGTCTACATTGGCATGGAGGAGGAGCTCACTATTGGTGAAAAGGGAGAGATAGAAGATAATTGCAGCTGGAAGGAACCTCCACATGGTCATAAGGTCAAGAGGGTCATGTTCTAACCACTTTAGCTGTCCACAAACTAAAACACCAGCAGCACTGGTGAAATACTGCAGTGCAGTGAGTGCACCAGGATATGGAAATTTCATAACAGCCCATTTATTAATGATTGAGAGTAAAGAAGCTGAAAGGCAGTACCCAGCAGCTACTCCATAGATGGATACTTGCTGACAAAAGATACTGTACCATGTCACTTGAACTTCAGGCACAGAAGATCCAATCACATCTGCATTCTTATTCACCTCACTAGATTTCGGGTTTTCAACGTCACCTGACATCTGAAAAGAAAATTCAAACAAGTTCCCTTTCAGAAGCATTCAACATGAAATTGTTGAAACTCATTCCATGATCAGGACAGCAAACAATTTATTTTTTGATCAAGTAGTCACTTACTCAGACAAATTGTTTACAGTACTCAAGAAATTCCATTTAAATTATTTCAACAAAGCTATCATGTAAAAATAGAGATTACTTGCATCAAAAATTACACATGAAAACAGCCTCCAGAAAATTAAGAAATCAACAAGTTCACAGCTCAGATGAAGATATCGTTAATGAAAAAATAATAGTAAAATATGGGGAAGAATTTTGGTTGTGCAATAAACAAACAATAAACATCTTTAATTCAACAAATAAGCTAAAGAACTGAAACTCCCTCCATTCCATAATCTTGCAATTCAACCATTCAATTTCACGGATCAATGTAGTCCCAAATTCAATTCTATTTGGGTGTGTTTGCGATCTTTTATCATTAGTTCATTCAGATTCTTTCAACTTTCATTTAAAAAAAAAAAATACAAAAATAAAAGGATATTATGTTCCATCATATAAAAATGTTTATAAGAAAATCTACTACCTAAAATGAACATATACTTAAGCTGCTGTAATTCAAGTGCAAATTATCAACAATTAGCTTTGCATAACAGAGTGAGTATCACAATAAGTATCAAATTTCTTATAGCCTTTGGATTATCAAATAATTGTCATTCATGAAGAACCTTTAAAAGGTACTTGACTGTATTCAGCTTCTTCCCAACGAATCCGATGCCAATGACAATGGAGATCCAAAAATTCCCCCTCCATTGCCAAAGCCAGCTCCAATTCCTCACTTAACAAGCCTAAGGTATACTCTAATGAAATTTGGTATCTTTCAGCTTATTTTTTCGCAAATAGAACACATTTGAAGTACATATACAACTTCATTCATCATTTGTTTTTATATTTGGCAAAAAAGAAAGAGAAGTTGATGATTATGTGAGTACCCACCGACATAATCTTCGGAAATAACAAGAAAGCTAAAGATTTACGAGGCATGCAATTTCTTCATAACTATATTAAGTAACAATTAACATTTAATTACAAAATAATTTTCTGGAATCGACTAATTCGAATGGTGAAAGCATAATGAAGTAAATAGTTCGGAAATCAGATGAAAAACCTTAAAATTACATAAAAATGAAACATTGGCCCTAAAATTAATCAACACAACTTTAGGGCCAATGTTCCTAAACTTTAACTCTGATCTACCACTATATAAAATCATCGTTATTAATGCTGAATCTGAAAATTAAATTGAGCTAGACAATGTAATAATGCAATTTGACGTCAATAGATTTAAGCAATGAATGAAAGTAGCGATTGAATGATTGATTACCTGGTGAGTTCAAATTTTGGAAATCTGAAAATGCCCTAATCAATTGAATGCTGGATTTGGGGAAAAATAGTAGGAAGTAGGAAGGACGCCTTTGCTTCTTGCTCCCTTTGCTTGTGTTATGCTGTAATTACTGTTTTCTCTTTTTTAATTGAAAGAAATTAAAAGCAAAAATACGGAGTACTCCGTAGTAAATTAAAAAGGGGGCAGTTTGTTTATTTTAATCATGGAGCGTATCTGGGTGAGCAATTTTATGCTTATCAATTTACATACATTTAAAAATCATTTCTCCTGTTTTTTTTTTTTAGAAAATACAATTAATAATCTAAATAACAAGGTACGCTTTTTATAATTCTAATAGCCCTTGTTGGTAATTGTGTTTAGATGCGATTGTTTAATATTGTACCAACTAAAAGATCTAATGAGAGAGTGAGGGACAACTCAAATGGTTAGAGCTCCCCTTTCGGTTCCAGGTGATCACGAGATCGATTCTCCTCACTCGTCCTTGTGACACTCTAAACACAAAAAAACAAAAAGATCTAATGATAATCATTAGAGGCATAGAATGGAGTATTCATTTCTATTTGCTATCATTATTGGATGTACTCCGGTATTATTCTTTGACCATTAATATGCTTCAACAAAAATTAGGAGTATAAAAAAGTTGATACTCTAATATAGTATTGTAAAACCACAATGAATCTGAGAATTTAAGTATTTAATACTTTCGTATTTAACCATATTTCATATAACTACATAGGAACTATTTTTTTTTATTTTTTAATATTGTAGAAGTATATATTAGTGAGATTTTTTTGACAAAATTTTCGAAGAATCGAGCACTTCATTTTAAGGTGGTTTTTGACACTATTTATATACTTTAATTTAACCATGCAGACACACATGTTGTGTCAGCGTGTCTCGTACTCAGCTACTCCAAATCGTACCTAAAACAGGTGAACACATAAGTGTGTCATGATGGCCTCGTGTTGATTTGTTAAAAATTGACCCCGCACAAGTGTCGTGTTGGGTCGAGCCACACCAATGAATCCTCTTTTAAATTCTGTATTTTTGTTAAATGGTATAAAGCAAAAATAGTAATAAAAATAACTGGGCTGACACTAAGTTAGCTCGTCGTGCTCTTGATAAAATTTGAAAATGATGTCCATACACAATTTAAGACCCACTAGGCCACTATAGTGTCACTTATGCTCTGCCGAACTTGTGACAGACTCATCTCGGACTGATTCATTTTCATGTCGTGCCTAACAGGTTTATCACGACCACAATGGGGCCGATATATAAAGTTGAAGTCAAAGCTCCGTAGGTCCAAAGAGGCAAAGAAAACTTTCCCAAAATTTTGAAAGCACACTCCTTGCATTAATTTTCCCGCTCATTACCCTCTTCATCTTCCACCTTTCTCTCTCTTCAGAAAACTCTTCAAACTTCAAAATTTCTCACTCAAAACATTTCAAACACAACATTTCTCCAGTTATCTCCCTCTAAAACCCCCACAAAATCATATCCCCAATTTCTAGGGTTTCTAATTCGGAACCCTTGATTCATAATTATGCACATCAAAGAGATCTGCTTGGAAGGGTTCAAATCCTACGCTACTAGAACTGTAATTCCTGGGTTTGACCCCTTCTTTAACGCAATCACAGGGCTAAATGGGTCTGGGAAATCGAACATTCTAGACTCCATTTGCTTTGTTCTAGGTATTACGAATTTGCAGCAAGTTCGTGCTTCTAATCTTCAAGAATTGGTATACAAGCAAGGCCAGGCAGGAATTACTAAAGCTACTGTTTCGATTATTTTCGATAACTCGGATCGTAGTCGGAGCCCTTTAGGGTATGAGGATTGTGCTGAGATTACTGTTACTCGTCAGGTTTGTATGCTTCAATTTTAATTATTATTTTTCTTTGATTTTAGTTATTTGGGTGATTTTTTTTGTAAAATTGAGTGATGTTTTAATGTTATTGTTCTTTGAATTTGTAAATATGATGAAGGTTATAGTTTTTGCGTCGGAAAAAAGTTAAATTTGCAGTAAATTGCTTTACATGAATATTGAGAAACAGTACAAATGCAAGATAGGTTTTTTAATTGTGCTAATATTCGCATTTTACCATTCACAAGTCACACTTGAAATGGTTCATTGTATTTGTAAATTGTTCAAAGATAGTTTAGTGGAGTGTGATCACTTTCCCAGGTTATATTTTTTCTAAAAGTTTTCGTTTTTAGCTCGGTTTTAAGTTAAATTTGTGGTTTCTTTGTATGTTTGAGTATGTCAATCGAACTTATTATTTTAGTTCAAGCATAGGTGGTTGATTCTTGACATTCTAATATGGGTATGAACACTTTGACATTTTATAATCTAGCCAAGTCTGACACTTGGGACACGTCACGTGTTTGATATGAGCTCCCGGGTCCAAGAAAAATCGATAGTGAGACTCGTTTGCTATATAAAGACAATGCAGTATGTTTCTTATAAACACACTAATGTATACAACTCTCTCAATTTTTTCATCCACCAATAGGTCCTATTTATTCTGGTGGCCTATTGTTTATATCATTAATCAGTCTGAACCTAGCTTTCAAGTAATTTATCATCCTTTTCGACTGCTCATAAGAGTCATAACGTCATGAGCTATTAAGTTTGCTTTTGGAAATCAAAATTACAAGGAGCTATATGCTTATGGTCAAATTTTGCAGATTGTGGTTGGCGGAAGGAACAAGTATCTGATTAATGGGCACCTAGCCCAACCTAGCAGGGTACAAAACCTCTTCCATTCAGTGCAGCTCAATGTGAATAATCCACACTTTCTTATTATGCAAGGGCGTATTACAAAAGTTTTAAACATGAAGCCTCCTGAAATATTGTCTATGCTTGAAGAGGCTGCTGGGACAAGGATGTATGAAAATAAGAAAGATTCTGCTTTGAAAACACTTGAAAAAAAGCAAAGTAAAGTTGATGAGATTGATAAGCTTCTTGATCAGGAAATCTTACCTGCTTTGGAAAAGTTGAGGAAGGAAAGAATGCAGTACATGCAGTGGGCTAATGGGAATGCAGAGTTAGATAGGCTTAAAAGGTTTTGTATTGCTTATGAGTATGTGCAAGCAGAGAAGATTAAAGATGGTGCAGTCCATGAAGTGGAACAAATAAAGACTGATATTGCCGAAATTGATACCAATGCATCTAGGATGAAGTCCGAGCTTCAAGAATTGGATGCCAAAGTGTCAGAGTTGACAGCTGAGAAGGAAGCAAGTATGGGTGGTGAAATTAAAACTTTGCAAGAGAAAGTGTATTCTTTAGCTCAGGATCTTGTGAAGGAGACTTCTGTGCTGAAAAATAAGGAGGATACTCTCAAAGGCGAACAAAAAAATGCTGATAAGGTAGGTGTTTTTGTCTCTAAACGTGTTTGGAAGTGTATTCTGTAACAATTATTTGATAAAATTACATCGCTTAATCTTGCAAGGTTGCTAAAAACATTGAAGAACTTAAACAGTCTGTGGAAGAGAGGGCTGCTGCTGTCAAAAATGCTGAAGATGGTGCAGCTGATCTTAAACAAAAAGCTCAGGAACTCTCTAAAGAATTAGATGGCAGTGAAAAAGAATACCAGGTACAATATCAGTTTTGATCAACATAGTGATCATTTAATTACTTGAATGTTTGTTTACAACCTTTTTTTTTGTTTTGTTTTGTTTTGTTTTTTTTTTGTTTTTTTTTTTTGTTATCATTTAAAAGGATACTGAATGGTTTTGAACAGGGTGTGCTGGCTGGTAAGAGCAGTCAAGATGAAGAGAAATGCTTAGAGGATCAATTAGCGGATGCTAAAGCGGCAGTAGGAAATGCAGAAATAGAGGTAAAGCAGCTGAAAACACAAATAACCCATGGTGAGAAGGAGTTAGTAGAGAAAACTAATCAGTTAAAGTCAAAGCGCAATGAGGCTACTGCTGTAGAAAACGAATTGAATACTAGGAAAAAAGAAGTCGAAGCTGTTAGGAAGTCATTGGATTCTCTCCCTTTTAAAGAAGATCAAAATAGTCGCATGGAAGCTCTGCAGCAGGTTAGTATCATCATGATTATTACTAGCTTGTTATACTATCTCTCCAGTATTTTCGCCTCATCTTCTTTAAGTACCTTCATTTATCAGGAGCGTGCAGCTGAATTGGAGGAAGTGCAGAAACTGAAAGATAAAATAAGAGCTCTTTCAGGACAGTTGTCAAATGTTGATTTCACCTACCGGGATCCTACCAAGAATTTTGAGCGGTCAAAGGTTAAAGGTGTTGTGGCAAAGCTCATCAAAATAAAAGATGGGTCAACAATGACAGCTTTGGAGGTACTGGATGCAATTTTTACAGTTTTGTTTCCACCTTTTAAAAATTAAGGTTTGCTACTTGGATGAAGTTTTTCTTGCATTATGTACTTTATCTTTCTAATTACAACTTTATATTTCAGGTTGTGGCTGGTGGTAGGCTATTTAATGTTGTAGTTGACACAGAAACCACTGGTAAACAACTTTTGCAAAATGGTGATCTTCGAAGAAGAGTCACTATTATTCCTCTGAACAAAATTCAAGCTCATGTCATTGCTCCCGATAAACAGCGAGCTGCTTCTAATCTGGTTTGTTTCCACACTCTTAATTCTACGTCATATCTATTTCTAACAGTTTGTTCTTGTAGTGGTTCTTATATTCTAATTTTCAGGTAGGAAAGGAGAATGCAAAACTGGCACTTTCTTTGGTAGAATATGACGAGGAGTTGAAGGTACTTGTCTATGTTGCTGTTGTTACCTAATCTCATGTAATTTATAATTTCATTGCTTGTTATCTATTGCTTATTATATCCAATGTAGGCTCAACAAGAAGCAGCTTTAAAATTCACTTATACTATTCTGTAATTTTGTTAAGCATCTTTTGTGTTTGCAATAAGAATTATCCACTACTTACTTTTCAAGTATAATCTTTGAAGTGGCTTCTGACTCTATATGTCAAAATATGATGAACTCCACAGAGGGCCATGGAGTACGTTTTTGGATCTACCTTTGTGTGCAAGACCAGAGAAGCTGCTGTAAAGGTTAGTTCATATGCAATATACTTCAGAGTCAAATTTGCGACATGGACATTTGAAATATGTACATGATGTTAGTTGGTCTTTGGAGAAATTTCATGAATTGCAGCATTAAATTTAGTGGTATGTTGGAGATACTTTACTGCTATATGTTGAATGCCAACATCTCGTGTCTTGAACAGTGACAGCTTGGTACAGAAGCTAATTTTGTGCTTCCAACTTTACACTTATATAATGTTGAACTCATATGATGACAGGTTGCCTTTAATAAAGATGGAAACATTGATGTCAGGGAGCCATGTGTTACCCTTGAAGGCGACATATTTCAGCCTAGTGGTCTCCTGACTGGCGGTAGTCGTAGGTAATGGCTACTCTTTCAACTTCCATTATTTCATGTTAATACAATAGC